TTAGCTTAAATTGCCACCTGGGTGGTTTAAACATTCTATAATGGGCGGTGCACTGCAAGGAAGTATTTCCAAGTAGGATGACACAGTCAAAGGAGTGCTTTATGAACATCCACTTGGCAATGCTAATAAGAGATCAGACGGGCATGGGGAGACATTTTCATAGCTTTGGGATAAGTCAAAAGAGACTATATTGTGATGAATGCTAGTGAACAGTATGAAGGACATTTCTGTAAAGCAGCAGTTCTCAACCAGTGGGTCGCGACCCCTTTGGGGGGGGTCAAACGACCCTTTCACAGGGGTTGCCCGATTCATAACAGTAACAAAATTACAGTTATGAAGTAGCAACGAAAATAATTTTATGGTGGTGGGGGGTCAGCACAATATGAGAAACTGTATTAAAGGGTTGCGGCATTAGGAAGGTTGAGAACCACTGCTGTAACGTCTCGCTGAAGTTCAAACTAAGAAGGTATTGTAGATAAAGGATATGCTAAGTACTTTAAATGTCTACTGTGCAGAAACAAGAACTTAACAATCATCTCAAATCACAATGAAAATTCTTGACTATCGGAAATAAAAGAAAATCTAGAAATAAACTAGCCTAAGTTATTTGACAGATAAGTAAGCAGGCTGCAACGACGGGCTCCGCATTTCAATTGTGAGGCTGGCCCAGACTGGGGCAGTGTTGTGCATAGGGTCGTTAGGACTTAAAACTAACTGGACAGCATCTAACAGCAGCAATTAGAAGCAGGCCTAAATAATCAAGTAATTTGTTAAAAACTGCAAAGATAGTGACAGCTTGGGAATATGTTCCCCAAACTCATGCTTCCTTGAGCCTAGCAGACTTGTGCTTCCCCAAAGAAGAAAGGCCCGCCCACAGCCATCCAGCCAACCTTGAGGCTATACATCTTTATGGGAGCAGTTAGCCTCAACTGCCTCCCTAAAAGCAGCTGGTGGATTTGAACCTCTGATCTTGTGGTTTAGCAATCCAGTGCTAACCCAAGTGCCACCAGGACTCCTTATGAAGAAAATAATAAGATTTTTTTATTGCTACTTCGCCAAAACAAACTTCGAATTATTCCCTTTTTACGGGTCCTTGAACAATATTTTTAAAAATATTCTCCAAAAGGCTCCATTTCAGTCTTTATTGGGTGATGGTCTTACTTTGAAAGAATGATACTCTGCATACTTTTGCCCAATCTCTTGATTACAACTAATAACACTAAGAAAAAAACAACTGTATCCCAACATCTAGTCATGACCTTTCTCTTCACACCCGAACTAAAACAGACATCTCCCCTGAAATCCAAAATAAATTTATAATTTTTTTCTGGTAACTCTTTTAGAATCTATTTTTGGATTGACCAATCATCTAGTCAATTTAGGTTAAAAAGGGTGGATCCACCTGTAATTCTGTGTTCACTAAATGTTTTTTGTAGATACAGTTTCCTTTTCTATTTCATTGGAAACCACGGGTCAAACGTCATTATTATTCTCCTGGGCTATTGTACCCATATTCGAACTGAAATCCCTGACAATAATGTCTCCCTCAAACAATTGATTTTCCATAACACCTTTCAATAAGCCGTCTATGAAAACCCACGTGAACTGGTTTTAGTTCAGGCTCTCTTATCACATTACTTGAATGAACAAAACCTAACCAACTGCTGCTGAGTTCATTACAACTGATAGTAACCCGAGAGACAGTGTAGAATTATTCCAAAGGGGTTCTGAAACTATAAGCCTTTAAGGAAACAGATAGCCACCGCTTTCTCCAGTGTGGTTGGTGTGTTTGAACTGCCAATTTTGTGGTAAGTAGCTCAATGCTTAATCCCCTGAGCCACAGGGATCCTTACAATTAATCTTTAAGATTAGTTGGATTAAAACTCAGAGACAAGCTAAACCCACTGCCATGGAGTCATTTCTAATTCATAGAAACTATATATAACAAAGTAGAATTTCACCTTTGGCTTTCTAAGGCTTTAAATCTTTACTGGAGCTGACAGCTTTATCTTTCTCCTGGCAAAGCAATGGGTAGGGTCAAACTGGTGACCTTACTGTGGTACCATGGCTCCTTTACTTAAAGATTCTCTTAATCAGGAGTTGCTAAGAATTTTCTTTAAAGGGTTAGAGTAAACATGTGAGCCCATTGAAACGACTCAATTCTACCATGGCACTGAGAAAATAGCCATAGTTAATATGTGAAGGATAACTGTGACTGTTTCAAGAAAACTTCCACTTTGATAAGTACTATTCATGAATTCATTAATCAAGATTCCTACCAAGCCTCCCGTCTGTCAGAAAGCTTTCCTTATCATCTTCACCGCTGCTGCAGAACATGCCAACTGTCCCCCTTCTTGCCCCTTATTCCTACCATTGCACTTATAACCATATTCGGTTATTTGACTACAAAGAGGTCTGGCACTTTTAGTAAAATGTGACCAACTATCGGTAGAAACTGAATCTTCTCTCCCTTTCTCCAGGGCCAAGCAAAGTACTGAAACAATATTAAGTGCACAATAAATATTTGCTGAACAATTAATATTATGGTTACCAATTGGTCCTTTCTGAGTAAACACTGAAATTCTATTTTCCATATTCATTCTAGTTAAATAAAGGAAAACACACAAAAAAGAGTAGACAATATTTCTTTCCAACAGATCTCTAGATTTCTACTCCAATTTTTTAAAATGCTTTTGTTCCCAAAGATTTAGATCCTTATTTCATCATTACTTTATCACATGGTTTCAAATGTTTAAGTTCAAACTAAATATTGAGAAATGACCTGCTTTACCTGGGAGTTATTTATTTCATTTGAGCTACATAAAAAAAAGAGAGAGAGAGTATAAGTTTTCATAGTCATACACTTGAAAATTAGGAATCAATATAGAATGGTAAGGGAAAGTAACATTTTGAAATAAAAAAAGTATTATCAGAACTACTTTTCCCCCAATAACCAAGTCCCATATTCAGTGCAAATGAGCTATGTACAAGGTTCCTTCCGTTTAAAATCATAATTTTTAAATTTATGGGTACCAAAATTTTAAAAATAGACTAAGAAGGACATGCTTACAAAAAGCGCTCTATTTAGAAGATAGGTAATTAAGTTTTATTTCTGGTAGAACTAAGTTTAAGTTTTTGAAGAACTGCTGTGAGTAAAACTCAACAGAAAAAGCTTTCCATGGAATTAAGCAAAACCATTTTTTTCTTAAGAACAAAGGAATTAGTTACCACTCGTCCATTTTCAGCAGTTGCTGCATCTTAATATGCTCTACTTGCAAGAAACTGATCTTGTCAGACAGTACAAATTGACACTGCACAAGAAAACTCTCTACGGACTGCGACTTCAGAAATTAACTCTGAATAAGACAGAATGGCAAAAGGGGCAAAACCAGCATTAATATTTATTTACTGAAGCTCAGCCATACTGAGACATTAAAAGCTCTGTGGCTTAGTAGCGCTTAGCACACAACTGGCTGATTTTCAATAGAAGACTGACAGAGAAGAAAAATTATTAACATTCTTATGATGAAGCTCAAATCTGAAACTTCTGAGATTAAATAACCGATTGAATACCCACAGGAACGATGCTAATATTACATTCTCAGTTCTACCAGGATAATACTTTAAATGGGCATTCAAAGAACAATTATTCTGCAGTATCGAGCAGTATTTTCTCCTGAAAATGTTTTATCTATTGGAATTTCCCCCCAAATCACAAACATATAGATGACTTCCTTCCTTCCTTCTTTCTTTCTATCTCTCTCTTTCCTTCCTCTCTCATTCCTCCTTTTGCTTCTTTCTTCCTTCTCTTTTTCTTTCATCCTGTGAAAGGGGACGTTGGCAAACCATTTGGAGTATTACCATAACAAAATGCTTTTAAAAAACTTTGATTTTAACAGAACTAGAGGCATCTTAACACTAATCCAAAACTTTGGGAGGTTCATCAACCTCTAGAATATTTTTTCCTCCAAATGCAGGCTGTTCAAGTGGTGCTTTGCTCCATCTGTTATCATACCGTGCTCAGAATTACATTGTCATACTTAATGTAAAAGGGATCAGTCCTCTTTTCATAGTTTAAATTCAACAAATTATTATGATCGGAAGGCCACTATTTTTCTAATTTATGAGCCAAGCCAAATACCATAAACTTACATGTGTATTTTAAGAAAGTTCTCTCTAAAAACTGAACAAACTCATAGGCTTGACCTATAAATTGAAAAATCATACTAAAATTCAAAGTGAGAAAAAACAACTTATTAGTAATGTGATGGATTTATTATCCCTTTTGACTTTTCCTGTGTTCATGTACATGTATGTACACACGTGTGCACACACTCGATTTTCCAATACAGCAAATTAACACTGCTTGCCAGCTGAAGTCTTCCTGTGATTTAGGGTTGAGCTATATGTTTACTGCAGTTTCATGACAACATGAATCACCTCACAATATTTTAGGATGGAAACAGTGCAATTTTAAACCACAATAGTATCTCCATGGCTATCATGATTTGAACATGAAACGCGCCACTCAATTTCATCTCTAAATTGTATATACCTTTGGAAGCAGATTTCTTATTTTACAGCAGTCCCATTGCAACTTGTATTTTGGGATGTCTTTTATTTTTTCTCTTTTGCCACTGACAATATCTGATTATTTTTCTAAATATCTTTCTCAGTTCAACATTTTTATTAGACATAGAATGAACATGAGAGGTAGTGGTAGGAGAAACATGTCATCGTGTCTACATTGACAGAAAATCACCTAAATATTTGAACACTGTAGATGAAAGGTTTTGTAATATATCAGTAAACCCCCTTGCCACACTTATCATTCACATGTCTGGGTGTTTTGCTTACCATAGCCCCACTCTTCTTACTATGCCTGAATTCTGTGTGTGACTGAATGACTAAGACCAACTCCAACAAGGGCTTGGAAGCTGGTGGCAACCCAGCTGTGGAATGAAATTGGTGCTGGGGCACATAAGGGGATTAGGGAGTACCTGGTGAGGTGCAGTTGGTGCTCAGATTCGCCCAGCAGTTCTGTCAGTTTCAGGCATTCCTCTCTGGCTCCAGCTCCCTTCTGCTGCTCCTGTTCCAAACGCTGCTTGCTTTCACTCAGTTCTAATCTCAATTTCTCTATTTCCTTAGGTAGAGAGAATAGGGAAAAAGCATCCACATAAAATATATGCACTTGAATTCAAAATTACTTCATTTTTCTTTTTGTCTTAATTTTCAAAGGTGATTTTAAATTATTAGAAAATTTAGGCAAGCTTCCATTTTATAACAAAGGGAATTAACACATCCAAAAATGCACATTAGTGAGGGGTTTTTTTGATCGTTAGATGAATTCTAATTTTAAAAATGAAATGATTAAATGAGAATGGTCAAAATGGATTTAGCTACACTTTCATTTTAAGGCTCATTCCCTTTAGAAAAGTAATACTGACTTAGAATGCCACTACTTTTAAAATTTAGCTCTCTTGTTTGTGAGATTATACCAGACATTTTCAGGGATTTACATCAAATATTTGTGACTCTTTATCCTGAATTACTATTGTATTTTGGATGCTCTGAAAGCCAAATTAAAAGATAAAATCATTTAAAATATGTGTTAGAAAAATGCCAAGTGGAAAGGAAAGCATCATTATAATGCTCAATATTATGTTGAAAAACAAATTTGGAGAAAAATACAACATAAAAACCTTTAAACATTTAGAGTGTGTGGGATTTCTGAGCTGAAGTAAAGTAATATTACATTAAAATTTATATTAGAAAAAGGTAACGGAAGTCCATTGAGAATAGTAATATAAGTAAAAATATATGAACATTTATGATAACCTATTTCTTGGTTTCAGGATAGAACTATCCTTATTTTACTGAAATTCAAATATGTCCAAGAAAAAAGTCCTACATAGAATATATGTTAAACGATTTATATATTAAAATGGAATTACATTTATCATTAAAATATCTAATAAAATAAAAAGGGAAAAGATAATATAAGAGATGAATATTTTAAAAATATTTACACTATTAAAACAAGAAAAAGCCAAAGGGGCAGTAAATACCAACAATGTTTTCAAGTTCAGTCAACATCAAGAAGCAATTTCAATACACCGAAATGCAAACTTCTTTTGGAGAACAAAATCATGTCAAAGTAGAAGGTTTTAAACTCAGTAGTTAAGCACAGTTTTAAAATGTCCTTGTGTCATTTCTCAATACTCTGAACAAATTGACTATTTAGTCCTGCAGGCAAAATAAACTAGGCAATTCATCTACATATTTTTCCTTTGCTCATAGCCTAGAAATATTATTCATCTCCACCAGATTCTGCATTACCAGCACTATAATAAATCATGAAAACTTATTTCAAGTTCTTAAATATTGCTTTTATTTAAAAAAACTTATGTGGTAACAAGTTTATTATTTTAATTTAAAGTAGATTTTCAATATATTTCAGGAGATTAATTATTAAATGAATCACACTTATTCCTTTAAAATATTTTGGTTATCCCAAGAAAATTATCCCAATATAGTCACGTGCTGCATATATTGTCCTTGGACCAATATCCAACTACCTATACTAGGGTTCCAATCCCTGTAAAGCCTATTATATTAAAAGTTTGAGGTACAAACAATGGTTTGTAACAGCAAACAAGTACCACTTTTCCAATGTACATCAAAACACTATTATCATTACTATATTATTATAATATATTTTAGTGTTTCTCCAGTATTTTGTTTTTAAAAAAAATATTTTTAAACATAGAAGGTACATTATATACTATGACGAATATTTGACTTTCTAGTGTTAGATATGAACAGTGCCAAACTGCTCCAATTTAAACACAAATTCCATTCAAAGACAGATTTAGAAGTTAAATTTTTTTTGTAATCTGGACACTTCAAAAAATGTATTGAGAAGTAAAATTTAAAGATAATGGAATTTTTGTACAAACTTTTAGAAGCCTTCTCATGTGGTAGTTCTGTAATGTCGAAATCATATGTTCTATTTCAAATGTACTATAAATATTAAGCAATGCATAATTGCCCCTACAGTTATTAATATAATTAAAGGATGAAAGCACATAACAGGAAAGTTTAATAACTTCATTTATATGATATTTATTAAATAAAACAAAAAATGTATACAATTAGCATTATATGCTGACTTTAAAATTGGAGAAATGCATACACTGTGCTATATGGAAGCACCGTAATCAATGTGGTCGACTCTGAGAATCTCCATCTCTACACCTAGGACTTAACAATTCAGTGAAAGAAATGAGACACATACACATGAAAGTACAAGACATATGAAAATGCCTAATGAGTGGAGAAAAATAATATATGACCAGATGAGAGGTATATCAGCAAGGATAAGAAAAAGAAAATATGTAAGAATATTAAGGGGACATTAAACCCAAAATGTCAAATTTAGACCACATTATAAAAGGTCTTTAATTTTAAATTAACAAAGTTTTTTTTTCTTCTTGTGGATAATAAGGGGATATTAACGGTTTCAGCAGGCACGTAGTAAGATAGAAACTGCAATTTAAGTAACAGGATCAGTGTGTATAACCAATTTAAGGTGGCAGAGAAACCAATGAAATAATCGTTGCAATATTCCAAATATCAAGAGTATTTATGGAATTAAAAGGAGAGGTTTTGGGAGAAACCACAGATATCTCAAATAATTTTGAATGGAGAGGATACAAAATAGTGACAGAAACCAGAAACTTATGAAATCCTAAATTTAATTTTTTAAAAATTTGATTGTACGTTGGTTGAAAGTTTACATAGCAAATTGGTTTTCCATTCATAATGCATACACATTGTTTAATGACATTGATTGCCATCCCTATAATTTAACAGTGCTCTTCCCAATTGTTCCCTTTGTTTCCTGTTTCCATTTGTCCTTCTTTCTTATCCCTTCCTGCCTTTGGAACTTGATCCCTGGGCAAATGCTGCTCTTTTGACCATGTATAATTGATTAGTCTACCTCACTGGTAGTACTGCATATTTCATAGGCCTGTCCATTGTGAGGTTGAATGGTAGGCTTCCAGGTTTGCTGGGTGTCTAAGGGCCATAGTCTCATGTGTTCCACCGTTAGCTATCAGATCAATCAACCTCATCTGTTTAAATTATTTTCAGTTTCGTTCAACATTTTTTACTCCCAGTCTATCCAATACTTTCTATTGTAATCCCTTTCTGAGTGTTCAGGAGTGGTATTTGGGCAACTTCTTGTCCTTCTGGTCTCAGAGTCATGGACACTAAGGTTCACATGGCCCACTAGCCCTTTGGACTAATTATTTCCTTGATGGTCTTGACCCTTATTTTCTCCAGACAGGGAGAGGCCAATAGTTACACCACCTTAGATGGTCACTGGGAAGCATTTAAGACCCCAGTCATTACTCAACAATGTATAGTTAAGAGACAAAGCTCACTGCTATCAAGTTGATACCAACTCAGAGATCCTCTATAGGGTTTCAGAAACTATAAATGATTACAGGAGCAGTAACTTCATGTACCTCCCACAGAGAGGTTTGTGGGTTTGAACTACTGACCTTAGAGTTATCAGCCCAATGTTTGCCCACCAGCATCAATAGGGATTCTTACTCACTAAAGAGGGTAGAGATGATGCTAATAGGCTTCACCTGTGAGTAACTAGGAACAGAATTCCCTGGAATGCCATCCTGATGTGTACATAATGAGCCCTCTGAGAAGCAGGGGAAAGGCTCTCATTACCAAAAACAGCCGGTAGTGGCGCGCATATCCTCTGGACCCCAGATACCTGCTCAGTGAACCCCCTGGATCCAGAAGACAGCTACATCAGAGTTGCAGCAGCAGAACCAAAGCCAGAGCAAAGAACAGAGTGGTGAACTTCCCAACCCAAGTAAAACTGAGTGCTTTTGTGTAGGAGACAGACTTGCAGAGTGGGGTACCTCTGGGGCACTTAATTGGCAAAGCTGAGATTGCTGACTCACCAAGTGGAGCTGAATACCTTCTGGTTGAGACTTCCACCAGTATGGTATGCCTTTTTGTGCATTTATTAGCAGAACTGAAAGAACTTTATAACATTTTATGATAAACAACTATGATTTCTCCCTGATATAACAACTTATTAACTTCCTTAATAAACCCTTTATTTATGAATTTTGTCTGTGATAATAGAACCTAGAGAAGTAAAATAGAGAACATTAATTAAGACAACTCATTTATATAAAAGCCACATCCCCAATGAGATAGCATTAGTCTGTGACCTGATTAAGGGTAGACTCCCCAGCTAAACTTTCACAAGTTGACATAAAACCTAACCAATACAATGCTCCACCACATACATGAATATATTTGTACCAAAGGTAAATACACACATGCAAATATCCTCTGTCAAACCTACATATATCCACGGTTATTCTGTCTCTCTCCATCCCAAACCTGTCCAGCCTGGATGTCAATGCACACTCATAGATCACAGATATTATAGGGTTGTGCACTTAACAGTATTTACCTGTTTAACAATTGCAAAATTCCCAGCATCTTAGCCTGCCACCATCTTTTTTTTTTACCCTTGGCAACCTCCCTCTTATTGTACATTCCTTCACTCAAATTAACACGTCTAATTTCTAACCAGTAACTTCATCCTTCATTCTCCTCCTGCGTCTAGTAACCATAAAATAACAATTTGGGGGTGTTTTTGTTTTTTAATGTAAACACCTTTTCTTGAATTTTTACATTAAAGATTTTGTTCTAAACTTGAAGAAAATGGTGGACTAATTTTTATAAGCACTGTGCAGCAACAATGCATATGTACTTGACAATGTCATTAGGTCTTAAGTGTAAATCCAGTGCTTTCTTATCCTCACAGGGGAAAAAACATCAGCAAAAAGGCTGCAAAATTAATTGAAAGCTAGTCAAACAGGTAGGTAAAGAACATGTGTCCTAGATGATCGGGACTCTAGAAACAGCTGTAGCACTTTCCAGGTATGTAAGCTTGGACAAGTCACTCAACCTTTCTTTATAGCTTCAATTTCTTCCATTTCAAATGAGAGCAGCAACTGTAGCAATCACCCAAGACTATTGTGAACATTAAATGTTATGATGAATACTTAGAAGAGAGCCTAGCACACAGAGCTGAACGAG